CGTAAATGCTCAAGCCCGAAAACCCAGTCAAAAAATTTAAAATGGGGCAGTACATCCCTCACCCCGCAGTCGGCGGCGACTTTGGAGTTCAGAAGGGGATCACCCGCATCCAACCATAGTGCTCAAAACACACATCCGGGGGTTGTTGGTCCAGCTGGCCAGCTTCATGGAGCTCTTTAACTCCAGAGTGGAGCACTACGAATAGTCCGCACTAAATCTGCCGATGAGATATTCGGATTGCACTAATTGGGCACTAAATCATGGCACTATCGGTTCAATTTGTGCGACCATCGGTGGGGCCAGCTTCATGGAGCTCTTTAACACGAGATTCGGGTACTACAGGTAGTCGCACTAAATCTGCCGATGAGATATTCGGATTGCAATAATTGTGCAGTACATCATGACACTCCGGAAGGTTGCCAACAGAGGATAAAAATCACAACTTTCGAGACGAATTAAAGTGAAACACAACATTGTTACTTATAACAGGAGTTTCATATCACGTATACGTAGACCGTTGTCAGGTGACAATCATTTTTAACAGTGAACAGTAAAATACGACCATATAATTTTGAGGATCAACTTAATTAGGTCGGGAGATAAGGAGGGTCCATAAAGTATAGACCTTTCTTTCTCAGATTTGTTTGTCAAATAACGGTAGCTCAGTGCCTGCGAGACTTGGGTTGGGCCATCCCGCAGTACACACATGCGGTGCACGCAAGGTGTTGCCTACCTACCAGGCGCTCAACAGGTGCGTTGCGTAATGGCGAATGACAGACTTACTTTCTTGATGCGTTGTGAGCGAACAAAAACAAAAAGGGAATTGTTGTAGCACAGGATCCCGCTTGCGACATCATTATTGAAATCTTTTTTTAAAAGGAAAAATCGCATTCCATTGAATTTTACTTTACAAGGGGTTGATTTACACAGTGAATTTAATTCCGAGCCGAGATTCAAACCGCCTCTTCTGATTCCATAGAGGGCCGACTTTTACTAATTCACATAACTATTTCGCTTGAGTAGTGGCTGTTGGCTGCGGTACCCAAAAAATCATTTTCTTTAGACGACGCGTCAGTTACGTGCGGGTATGAAATGAACCGTAATTTAAGGAAATTTGCCTAAATCAAACGTCATAGGATATGTTAAATTCTTTATTTGATTTACGGTTTTGCTTTGTAACAATGTTATTGAAACCAAGAAAAAAAAATCGAAACGGAACATATTTCGGTGTGTTGTAGGGAAAAACGAGTCGGAGAACGAATCACTGCTGCTCGAGGAGGTACCTAATTTAATCAAGTCACAATGACTCATTGGTTCAGACTTTGATTATTGTTGTTAGCCCACCATTTTCAAATTCACAAAACAGAAGTAGGAACCTGCGCGCAATTGACACGCAGCCGCCCTGCCCCCCCCCCCTTTTTTTCCACCGTCTAAGTGGTACCTCCTATCACTTGAACAATTGGAATCTACCTTTCAGCCGTACTTCACGAAATGACATCAGACAAGACCAAGAAAAGATAAGACAGAGAGATTCATGCCGATCAAGGTATAAAGGAGCACCTTTTGGCGGTGATCGGCACAGAGTAAACTGTCTCCGGTAAGTAATAAACGGGGAGAGCTGCGGCACAGTCATAGGGTATAACTAAGAGCTTGGTTAGTTTGTCAGAGCAGAGTATTCCACTGTGTTTTCGGCGAACTTAATCGGTTCTCCTTTTGCCAGTGTGCACCTGCACCGCGTTTACTAATTTTCATGACCAACGACAATTTTTAAAATGTTGTACTACTATGTCGCACTACTAT